GCCTCTCTCATCTTTTTAAGTGGGAGAACTTGCAGAATTGGTGGCTGACTAAATACTTTTTTGCCCCACTGTATATACTTATGTAGAATGTAAAGTAACCCAATGGAAGATCTGTTTTAGATGTATTGCAGCATCTAGAGCTCTGCTAGATGTTTTTGACAGAGCTGAGAACAGGTTGGCCCCATTTTGGAGGAAACTAAACACCTCCATTTATTTTGGGCCTAGTTCTGGCAGAACACTACTATGTTAGATTTATGCCTGTGGATATTTTTACACACATGTATGGGGCCTCTAGTGATGAGGCACCACCATGCCATCCTAATTCATGAGAGAAAATTGCACCATGGGCATCTCCTAGAAGGGAGTTCTTGGTTAAGAAAGAGCAAGCAAGAACCAGACAAAATTTTTAGGCAAGCGGGGGACCTTGAGGCCATTTCTGAGGGTAGTCAAGATGCAGAAACAAAGGTCACAGCTTCTGCCAGGGAAAACTATAGTTTTCCAACTATAGAGTCCAAATAAGATGACAGCAGTATGCAGACAATAGAGATGACTGTATCACCAGAGTTTATTTTGTCACCTGCATCTACAGACAAGCCATCAGAGGGCAAAGAGCAAGAGTGTTATTCTCTTATAAGAAATAAAGTAGAATATGCCATACAAAGAAACCAAGTCGTTGCAGCCAAGATTTTTTTGAATGATGGAGCTGTTCTTCTAGCTATAGAAAATAGTATCATATTCCAAGCAAGGAGATATGAAAGATGAACTAAATTAATGAAGGACATCTCAAAATTGCATTGTTTAAAAGGTAAACAGGGCACAGTGTTTTGGTTCTGTGGGAATAAGAGGTAAGTCTAAAAACACTAGATTGTTGTGCATAATATCTAAGACTTTAGAGAGCACACGATAATTTGGTGCCCAATTAGCAAAATGTTAAAATTAAGTTTGAAAGACAACTATCATAAACTGAAGGATAATCTCTTTCCATATTTACCTACCATATGTTACTTTCAGTATCCCCATCAAATGAAGTAGCCATAAGAGCAAAGATTTTTTCATTGTGCCCCCATGTATGAAATGCCTTTTGGAGAGAGATTCATCTATTGCCTGCATATGATCTTTTCAGTGTCAGATGAAGAATTGTTTTTCCTTATACAGCTTATTTGGTCTCATTTGATCAGAAGTGACATGATTTCTTTAAATGTTATTTTGGGATAAACCTATTTTTTTAAATCTTGCTATCACCAACCCCAAAAGGCAGAGTTCTTATACTGAGATTCTGACTTCATTGATTTGTTCTTTTCCTTGTAGCATAGCATTGTAGATGTGGTGGAAGTGCTATATTCTGTTTATTTACTCAGAAAACCAGTTAATTAAGAACTAAATGATAAAATTAGTATTAGAAGGCCTATCAGTATTTCTCTTTTATGTGTCTCTGTGTGTGTATGCGTGTGAGTGAGGAGATAAACTCTCTTTCTGTATATATATGTGTATGTATGTACATACACATATATATATACAGAAAGAGAGAGTTTATCTCCTTTGCCTCTTTTTACTGTCAGCTGCTCTTATTGGCAGTCTAGAAAAACATTAAATATGTATGTACGTGTATATTGATAATTTGATAACTCCTTTCTAGGCCTTTAATTCATTTGTGAGAAGTAGCTAATTGGGAGCCCTAGAAGCACACCTGCTGTTATAAGTGATTTTCCTGGTCCACATTCAGTGTAAAAACCCAATCTCAACAGACAGAATCAAAAACTTTGGATTCTAGACTGAAGATCATCCTGGAATTTTGTGCCAATAAATGCACCCCCAAAACTGAACTATTCAGAGGTGGGTCAATTGCTGATGCTCGCCTCTTCATATAGTTCACATAGATACTTCAAATGCAGTAAAGTATTTGGATATCAATATAATTTTGACACTTTTTACCTCTGCTGAATTTGGGTAAGTTCTGCTCCTTAAACCATAAGAGGTTAAATTTGCAGGTAGTATTACTAAATTTCTGAATATTGGGATATTTCACTAAAACCGGGAAAAAAAGCAGAATCTTAAAAAAATTTTTTTTTTTTTTTTTGCAAATGTGTTTATTGTTTGTTTTAAATTACATCAGGTCCAAATAGTGCTCCCATGGAGAAGCTCAGACAGAAATTTTGTGGATCAGCTAAAGCTGGCCACAGTTTGGCATTTCTATAAATAATTTTATCATACACGTATTTGATACACAGTTTTCAAATTATCAATATACACGTACTGCAAATTCAAGTGTACGTTTTTTTAAAAAGTGAATCTGAATCCTTTGCAAGCTAATTATATGTCCAATAAACATGCTCTTTTTCCTATTTCTTTCCTATAGAGTCCTGTAAAACAAATGGAGTTATATTTTATTTGTTTGGCAAGAATGTACGATGATTTTGTGTTGATGGGCAGTCTTGGTCTTTGGATAACATGTTGGTATGGGACCCATATTCCTAGACGTGGGAAGAGCCAGCAAAGAAATCAAATTTGATTTCATTAAATTTGAAATTAGTTTAATTAAATTTGAAATTACATTAGTTTAAATTTGAAATTAAATTTAAATTTGATGGAAATTTTTGAGTAAGCTTTGGAAAACTTACCATAGTTTTTTTTGGGGGGGGGTGCTACAGGTTGTACATCCCAAGTTTTAAATGATATTCTCCTGATTTGATACTATATGTAAATACTGTATTGCAGGTAGTCCCAGTGAGGGTCAGTGAGGTCTTGAACCACATACAATTGATAAAGGATTTGACTCTTTTTCATGTGTTGCTTCAAACTCTCAAAGTATTGTTTCTGTTTCTGTGTAGTGGAGTAATTATGATTCAGATCATAATGTTTCACTGAAATTGAGATGCTTAACAAATGCAAGTAAACCAGGCATTCAGGAGAATGAACTACTCACCCATTGAATCAATTGACAAATCAGTACAGCTCAATCAATTCC